AGGACTCAAAACTTTAAACTCTTCAATAATGCTATTAAAATCCACTGATTTGGTCATTTCTTGCTCAACAAATAAAAATAAAAGCGATTCTAATCGTTCTTGAGACATTGTTGACCGTAGTTTAGACAATAAAATTGTCCAGAGAACCACGTAGTTGTTCAGTCTCTTTTTTCTTATTTATCTTAATTCTGAGTTTCTCTGCATCCCCAGACCTTTTCTTTTTACTCCTGACATGTCTAATGATTAAGCACATAGAACTCAAGGATCTCAAGGCTCAATATGCACACAATTTAAAATAAACGTGAATACTCTTAGTCGTACTTAATTATGTATATAGTGTATAAAATCAACAGTAAAACAAAAACAAGAAACAATTATTCATAAACGGCAGTCCTGAACTCCTGAGTGTATAGTACTTTACTATTGTTTATTACAATTACAAAAACAAAATAGTAAATACGTGAGCGTCGGGAGCACGTGTTTTACCTATCATTGATCAACATAATAGAAATTTCGAATTTCTCTATTATCAATGTGATACACTGATACATACAAATACAATCACGGTTTAAGATAGACTATCTTAAACCGTGCATACAATACACGCCTTGGTAGTAACCACTTGTCCACTTGTCGCGGTTAGTGGTTACTGRTTGTTTTGAATTATTGGTTACCTAAAGTTGTTCTTGACATCATACATTAGCTCTTAGYATATTGCCATTTTGTTAGAGCGTCGAGCGTCTAATTTATTTTCTCTAATTTTTACTATTAATTGTAGCTTAAAATTTAAACTAAGTCCCCGAATGAATAAAAATTTGTACCACGGCACACTTGGCACACCCTGTGCGCACGCCTATGTATATAATATGACGAAATCATGGCACAATATTACAGCTCATGACTTGTAGACATTATTGCCATATACCTATAAACAATAAACATAGCCTAAATTACAAGTAAAATTTTGGTAAAATTTTSTTTTAATTTATTTGTCTAAAACATATAATACTTGTATCTACATAATTAAATCTGATTATTCTGATTAGTATTTCATTTAGATTTAAACTTAAGAGTAACTTCAGAATAAAAATATCCATAGCTATAGTAAAATTTCTTACCATAATCAATATTTTACAAACTAATATGAAAGTATAGCATTCAATTGTTGAAATTATAATATTAATTTTATAAACTGAACATATAGGCTTAATAATTATTAGGTAATATTAAGCTCCCAACAGCTTTACAGATTTCAATTGTWCAGCATGGCAGTATGTAGTTAAAAACAACTTAAGAGGACGCTACACCCGCATAGGTTGTCTTCGTCTTACAAACGCGTAACGTAGCAAATTTTATGCTCAGCAGATCACGTTTAGCTCCGTTAGTTTAAAATTTAGAGTAAATTGACCTCTTACAAAAATTAAAAGTATCATTATTATTGAAGGCATCTCGTAGGCTTTTTATTATATTTTAATTTTAAAGTGAGTTATGTGTATTTTAAAATTGTAAATTGTTTGTATATCTTAAAATACTCATAACTCACTTAGTCACTTTAAAATTAAAATAGAATAAAAAGCCTACGAGGTGCTCTCGATAATAATGATACCTTTAATTTTTGTAAGAGGTCAATTTACTCTAAATTTTAAACTAATGGAGCTAAACGTGATCTGCTKRGCATAAAATTTGCTATGTTACGCACTTGTAAGACGGAGACAACACATTCGGGTGTAGCRTCCTCTTAAGTGTTTATTGGTTCATAAAATCGTATACCTTGTTGTACAATACTATGTGGTACCGTACATGACCTATTATTAAGTCTWAAGATAACTTTTATTAATATTAATCTTGTTGATAAAAAATCGTGACCAAATCTAAACGGTAAAAATTAGATTTAAATTAAAGTTATTTTATTTGATTCAGGCATTCTATTCAAACAAATTTGGTATTTGTTGTAAACAAAAGTATGTGGCCGCAATACCATTATACATTACCGTGGGACTATCAATGTGGTGAATACGGAAATTATAATCACGGGTGCATCACGTCTCACATAAGAGTGTGGGCAGCATTACGATTTGTGACCGACCTAAGGACAATAGATTCTGATGGAATAAGAAAAGCTATGATTGAGGCGGCCAGCACAGGACAAGAATTCAACCAATGTGCGGAAAAATATGCGTTTGATCCAAATCTTCTTAAAATAAAATGTGAATTAGATTTAGAAAGGATACCTTTTTGATTACAATTAAAATAGATATATTACTATTCAGTATCATTTGTACATCTATAATCCGTTTTATCACAAAAACGTAATTAAATATATTATTTTTTTATTAGGGGGGGACTGTGACAATATGAGCCATTAGGTGTAGGATGGTACGGTAGTGGTAATTTTTGTGTACTTTTGTTGGTAGATTTTTAAGTTGGTAGGGTTGTAACACGTGATTGCGAATGTTTGGCGAGGATATGCTGTTATAAAACCTGATTGGTCACCCATCTAGGTGCTAGCAACTGCAGCCGGTATGTATGCTTAGTGCTTTTCCGCAGATTGAGGGTACGACCACGSCTCACCAAACCACAAATATRTTTTTGTAAGTTAAGAAAAATGAAACTACTGGCTACTTGGCTATTTACAACCATTGATTATAAAAATTCCAACTTCTAAGTTTAAATGATCCATGATCAGTAAAACTTAACTAAACAATAATAGTAATTATTTATAATAAAAATATATTAAACACATTTCCTGTTTATTTATGGTTTTATATAACGTTTTAAGAGTTGCAAGACTGTGCATGCATTTACATCATAGAAAATGGGTCATGATTATTAGTCTAAAATCATTTTTCACTGAAGGTGGGTTATAAATAATAATATAGAATAACCAAATTGAATATTATGAATTATGATATTAAATAATAAATCATAAACAACTTTCATATTAAATATGTTTATAAAATATACTTAAAATATCGATTTAAATATTTGAATATCAAAATTTAATCAATATCAGTTAAGGCATTTTTTATTTTTTTTATTTAATTGATGCGAATAATTTGTATACCAATATATAATACATTAAGCCTTAAAATTATAAAATAATATAACAAGTTTAGGTATAAACATTTTGATAAATTAACCAACAATAAAATAAGTACTTATGTAATAATAATAAATTAATAAACTTACTTTTAAATACTTCCTAATTACTATTGTCCTTACAAATATTTCAATAATTACATAAATATGTTAACAAGGTAGGTATTATTTTTAAGTAAGGAAATTATAAATTTTCCTAATTCATTTATTTATTTTTTAATGATGTTTAGATACCTAGTTGATTTGTTAAAGTTGTTCTAATATTATATTAGGGGTAGGTTATTAATTAATTATATATGTAATTTTTTTTTTTTATTGATCAAAGTACATTGACAACTAGACCATTAGTAAAATAAATTTTTTTTTTTGTTACATTTTTAGTATTTTAAGTATACATTTTCTAAATTAAATTAAATTGTACAATTCTGTTTTTTTTTTAGGAATAAAATTAAGTTTTTTACATCCTATATATGCAATTTAATTATAGACTCCAGTACAACTACTAACTAGTACAAGTTATAAAAAACAAGTTAATATGCCAACTAAATGATTAAGTTCATGTTTACARTTAGTAACTATTAACATACAACAGTACATATATAGTTATACTATAAGTTAGTGTTTTAATTCAGATAAGTTATAAATGTATAATAAATTTAAAACAATTAACAATTAATGATTTTATAAACCACAGTATCAAATAGGTATAAAATTCACCAAKAATCATGAGTCATGCGATTTATGTACCTATGTATTAAATTTTTAAATTACAATATCAATAACATTTGGAAAAAAGACTTATACAGTTATACTTCTACAATAATAAAACTGTATTAATGAGGGTTATCAAATTATATCATTAGGTACCTATTATATAATACTCTTGAGTATAAATTCTATTAAATTTWAACTATATAAATGATAATACCTTGTTATTACATTATCTAATATAGCTAGGTGTAGGGGCCGGGAACGAAGCAATAATAGTCCGCGACGCCCGATCGCCAAAATACTTYGCGTGTTATATATAATATACTCACACACCGACCKACCTGTATAAATTGTGTGGGTGTATGGTTAAAACTAATGGTATATAATAAAAAATTGTAACACGTTTCAGGTARTAATTAGTTGCTGTATAATACGCTATATCAATAATAATTTTACAAATATATAAAATCCACAGCAAAACAATAATATAAAAATATAGTAATAATAATAAATCAAGCCCTTATGGCTAAACAGTATGATATGCAAATTCAAAATAATTTACAATATAATTAATAATGTACTGTACGGCCCTTGTGGCACGACAGAATATAATAAATATATGTGGCTCTTATGACGCAACGGAATATAATAATAATAGGTAGCAGCTATTTGAGCTGTTAGCTCATATACAATAATATAATATAATAATATTATGTAGATGGTCACTTGTTTGCGTCAACAATAGGTATATACTATATTATAAATATGTATACAGCATCAACAATCAGCGTAAGTACATATTAACAAACAACTTCAATGGACAACAAATGTTCAATGTCGCTTACAAACTTCAAAGTTATTATTCTAGACAATTGTCACTATACTTTTAAGGTATTTAGTATTTACTATTACCAGTAAGATATGTTTACCACGGAATTCGTATCAAAGCTTATTGGGAATCATAGTTATAAYAAATTACAATAATACGATTGTGACATAATACTCGTACTTTATATTTCAAGTAATCAGCTATTAAATTGGCATTAATTATCTTAATTTATTATTATACCTATTTAATTATTTCCCAACCTCAATATACGAATATCAGAATATTTACATCTCAGATGAAACAAATAATAAATAAAATTAATAATGTGCATTTAAAAAAAAATATGTTTTTGGTAACTTAATAAAATTAAAACCGTAGGCTTGTGAAAACACTTAAGCATTATAGATAGGTTTCATACAAAAATTCGAAAAATATTATGTAGGTTAGGTTTGTTTATCGTCCAAAGTTTCAAACAAAAACCATTAATTTATGAGTAACATGACCTTTTAATTAAGAAGTTCAAGCAATGTTCGTACAGTCATCATGAACATCGATCTATTTGTGTATAAATAATATGATTCAGACGAAACTACTCATTAATTACWTTAATTAGAATTATCACTTGACCTTTAACTAGACTTAGTATCTATGTTTATCGTTGAATATTTTTGATTGTCATTTTAATGATAAACTAATTAAGTTGTAAATATTTCCATTGAACGTTTGTTTTATTACTCTACTTATTATAATGCCTTTTATGTTATTATCATAATTAGTTTGTATTTATTTAAACTTAACAGAACAATATTATGAGTTGAATATGACGTTATATTATAATATTACATACCTCCTATTATAATGTTTTTCATGTCAATGAAAATACATAAATAATTCGTAAAACTGTTTAAATATTTTAATCATATTTAATTAAAATATATTGTTGTTAAATCAGTATTATTAAATATTGTTACGTATAACTGTTGAAAAACATTTACTAAAAAGTTCAAAAACATAATCTCCACCTATTATAGTTTACGTACGACAAATGGGCTCCCACAAAAGGGGGTCAAAATAACCCATTGTACTGGGGCCCGGATTTTTGAGGAGCCCGGCGTTCATGTAAATAATTACTTCAATATATATTAGACAAATGTTTCAAAATTAATTGTTATTTAAGAGGAGTCCGGATTTAGTTCTGTAACTGGGCCAAAAATATGATGCGGGGGTCCTAACCACATGGCATAAATATTAAAGCATATAGCGTAGAACATTTCAGTTTTCTTTATTAATACATTTTGTTGAAATTGCAAAGGCAATAATATTACCTTTAAGATATATTTAGGAATTTCGGTATATTTCATAAATTAAAATTTTTTTTTTATTTGATAAATTATAATTGRAAATACCTTAGTGAATAATATTCAACTAATACAATTTTAGATTCTGAGYGGAGAGAATCTTTTTTTGTAGGTACTCGTGTAGTCGCATGCACGATAAGTAGTCGAAATAGTATTTCAATTTTCAACTTGAGTAACTTTTCTGGTGGGAAAGTGTATATAGTTGGTGCATCATGTATGGTCAACATTGAAAATCATCAGTAATTTTCATTAC